ATATATATATAATTTTTTATATAACAATATATTACATATATTATTTATATAATAATATATTATATATATTTATGTCTAAATTTAAATCATAATGCCTCATGTAGCAATGTGGTTAGTGTCTTCTTTTGTATAGATTTGATCCAGTTTCGATTCCCACACATTACATCTATTTTTCTCAATTTTAGATTAACGAGCCAATTTCGAGCCGAACACGAACACACTGTTCACGAGCCGATTTCGAACACGAACCGATTTCGAACACGAGCTATTTCGAACGAGCCGAACACGAGCCAAGCCTGAGCTCGCTCAAGCTCTGCTCGTTTACAGCCCTACTCCTGATACAATAATTTCTCAAAAAATATCATCGAATTAAATAATCGATAATTCTGCTGACGCAACGGTCTTTAGCGGATATTCTCAACCGAAATAATTAACCATAAAACACCCTTTTGTTAAATAATTAATAAAATATTGAATCTCCATTTTTTTAATTAGATATAAACTCCTCCATACAATTTTCACATAATCTCTCTCTCTCCTCTCTCTCGCTCTCTCTATTAATAGGCTCAATGAAATCTTGGCTAAGTTGTGGTTAGGATCCAATCTCATCAGAGCTCCATGGTTTCCTCGGAGAAGAAGGAGAAGAGAATCTCGAAAGCACAGACCTTTATTCACATGCATCACAACACACGTCGAATCCCATAAACCATACAACCCATCTCAAACCCGACCTCACTACACATACTGCAATACTACGGTGATCCATGCTCGCGCTCCCACCCTTAATAAACTCTAAAGCTGAAGAGAAAGAAGGCTTCTCCGACGCCATTCCCGGCGATGACATCCTCGACAGTATCAATTTCAGCTGCATCTTCGAAAACTTCGACGTCGATGGAGATCTCTTTCCTACAGAGCTCCAGTTCTCTGAACCTCAACACATCCTTCCCGAGTTCTCCGCAGAAGGAGAAGAGCAAGAGAATAGTAGTCAGTCGCAGAAGAGGGAGGAAAAGAAAGATGAATTAAGTGCGACGGGGAAGACTGTGAAACGATCACATGGGAAGAAGAAAGTGAAGGTATGAGATTGAAGATAGAAGCACTTTTATTTGAACGTGAGAAAAATTATTGCATCGGTTGCATCAGAAGTCTTGATGCATCTGGTCTTCAATCAGAATTTGTCACATGAACAAACAGAACATAATTTAAAAAGAGGGGAGTCACGAGAATCCTGATGGATGTGTGTGTGTGTGTGTATACACGATATATATAGATGATGATTAATTTGGATTGGCGTGATTGTAGGTGGATTGGACGCCGGAGTTGCACCGGAGATTTGTGGAGGCGGTGGAGCAGCTGGGAGTGGACAAGGCCGTGCCTTCGAGGATATTGGTGATTATGGGAATTCAGAACCTAACAAGGCACAACGTGGCTAGCCATCTACAAGTACTGTATTTGTTTTTTTGTTTTTTTTTTCATTTCGTATTAATTATTGAAAAGGAGTAATTAATTAGTTAGGTATATACCGTTAAACTCTTATAATCAATTTATATTCGAGATCTTAATCGGTTTGGTTGCTTTTCTTAACAACATGAGTGATTATAAGATCTAACTCTGGAATCAGATTTTATTGATGAGTAAATTAATTAAGGTTGTCTAAACCGTGATTGCGATTTGTTTAATTTAGTCAAAAAAAATCCTAAGTAAAGAAAGATTAGGAAAATAAGATATCTAAAGAGAGAGAGAGAGTTAATTCTTAGGCGATGTTCTAAATAAGTCGAGACTTTAGATGACTTTGAACTTCATGAATTTCATTTTATAATTTATTTAAGTTGATTTTATATTAAAAATTTCTTGAACCTCAATCGTGATCTCATAATGACTCTGATTAATCTAATTTCGATGATTAATATGAATACACCAAATCTTTTTGGCGAAAATAAGAGGCTATTATAATTGGAGGAATGCTAAGAAGAGGAGAAAAAATATGAAAAAACTCATTTTTATTTCACTCTTATATTATTTGTTTTTACTTCATATAAAACTCAAACGCACCACATTTATTTATACTACTAACAATCCCATTAGGATTGTGCCAACAAATTTTGCTCGAATGATTGCTATTGACTATTTAGAATATTTATTTATTTATTTATTTTTTTGTTATAAAAGTCCTTAATTACATATTCTAGAATTCATTGAATCACTTCTTTAAAATATATCTCTAGAATTCAGTGAAATATTCTTAATAAAATAAGTCTCTAAAATTTTCTATAGAGTATTCTAGATAATGGGCACAATTAAAAGGCCAAATTAAATCAAGTTTACTTTTTTCCAACAATTTTCATTATATAAAACTTACATTTATAAATATTTCAATTTGATCTGCTCAGGAGAACGACATTTCTCAACTTGAATGTCTGGATGTAACCATTCTCAAAGATTTTATCATGTCCTTCAACTCCCTTCAAATCGACTTACTTGTTCATATCCAAATTACCTCAATTCCCTTATAAATTAAAACGGAATCAAATTTCAAACATTTATTTTCAGTAAACTTTTCAAAAAAATAATATAACTTATCAATTTATTATTTCTTTATGTATTAACTTAGTAGTGCTAACGCTGGTGGTTCAGAAATATCGATCTCACCGCAAGCATTTGGTTGCTCGAGAGGCAGAGGCGGCAAGCTGGACTCAGCGGCGGCAACTATATGCCTCCGCAGCTGGAAGACGCAACACCAGAAGCATTATAATGAAGAAAGAAAATAGTACAAGGATTGCACCAACAATAGGCTTCCCTCCTCCACCTCCTCCATTTCACCCACAATTCAGACCACTGCATGTATGGGGCCATCCGACCACCGGCCGCCGGCCAATGTTTCAGGTGTTGTGAATATAAAAATCGATCCACTGTTCAAATTGACATTTTTTCATGTTTGGCAGTAAATTGAATTTGATACTCTAAATTAATTGCTCTTAATTTCTTTTATGATTTGCTGCAAATGAAAAAAAAGAAATAATTAGTGGATTTCAATAATTATTTAATCAATTTTTTAATATGTCTAATGACATTATGAAATTAATAAATAGACTTAGATTTCATTATAATCTCTCTGGAGATTTCATTCCTCATTTTATTGTCCTCTTTTTTCACAACATCAGCAGGCAATGTGGACTCTTGGACATGCTGCAACTCCTCCATGGCCTCCTCATCTACCAAATTATATTCCCTATTTGCAGCCGAATTATAGAGTACATAGTCTCTCTCTCTCTCTCTCTCTCTCTCTCTCTCTCTTATTGTGGTCAATTCTCCACTTGTCTTTCCATTCACGTGAAAGATAGTTAAGCTTGCTTATGAGGATTACTGCAGCTTTTGCAGGGTGCAGCAGAAGGATGGGGGACAAGTGCAGTCATGTCCACACCTCTCACGCCTTTTCAATTGCCTGCAATTGTATGTATTAACAGTAAAAGAGTAAATTGGTCAAAAATTTATGAGTTAATTTTTTCATTAGAATAATCTTATAGAACTCAGATAACTTTTATATATTATTTGTTTTATTGAACAGATATAAATTAAGGTCTAAATATTTTTATCTTGTCTTACTTTCCATTGCAAATATTTTTATTAATTGATTTTTAGTATATTTGAAAACAATAATTAAGTAATTTTATGAGATTTAAATTTAATAAAAATATGAGGTGTTAATGTTTTCAGTCTAACTTGATCAACATTAAATTAGAATATCCTAATATAAATTTTTCTATTTTAATTTATATTCAACTAAAAATGGTGCATTTTTTTTTTGACAGTACTTTTAAGCTAAATCATATATGTACTTATATCCATGCTCTTAACATATATACATAAGATTAAACATGCTAAAGATATTTCATACATGACAATACTTAAAATTCAAATTCCATTTCAGATATTTTACCAATATTCATGCTCTTAACCTTTATTATGAAAACTGAAATGGGATGCAGAGATTTGCACCTCCACCAGTAGCAGGAGTTCTTGCTCATCCTACCTATGGATCTCAGCACTTGGTTTCTCCTTTGAAGCAGCATTCGAATTTGCAGCCGGAGCACAGTGATTACCCAGTAAGCTATACGAGCACTCGGGCTTCGTTTTAATTTATATTTTCAAATAATAATTTTATTTTAGAAAAAATTTACATGCGTGACACGTTGCTTAGTTATGCATTTATATATCTCACACTTAAACTTTCATATTTATATACGTAGCACTTTAGTGCTTTAAACCTATGCATGAAAAGATTTATTTCACTTTTAGTAGGGGATCATTGTGCTATTTTCTTATGTGATATTACAGACTTGTGTGTTATGCATGTAAATATGAAAGCTTAAATGTGAGATATGTAAATACATGAGATTTGTGTTGCTATGTGTGTAAATGCCCACAAATTGTCATTGCATATCTAATATCTAAATTTTACTTTTTAAATTCATACCACCCAAATATTTCATATCACGTTGAAATATTTTATTATTTTAACTCTTAAAGATGAAATATATCTTTTTCGTGTATTGGCAAGATGATATATATAAAATTTAGATGTTACAAATGTAAATTCGTAGGAATTGAGTGTCATGCAAGTAAATCTCCCTTTTATACTTTATATGCATCAAAATCAAATGAAATTATGGAAAAGAGCAAGAAAAGAGGACGTTTTTCATCTCATTATAGTACTGTAAATGAAGTTGGATCGGTGGTCTCCGCTTATCCTTGGAGTTTTATGGGGCAATATTCCGAATTGTCACATGCATGTCTTGTTAACACTTGGGAGTTTTATTTTTGTTCACAAGTTCATAATCAATCCAGCCAATCAAGCAATTTAAATTTTATACTGAGGAAGAAAGAGAGAGGGAAAAGGTTTTATGTCAGGACATAGTGACATCTTCTGTTTTTTAGATCTAAGTATGTCATTTGTTAAACAGTAAGTATATGGTGTTAAAAAAGGCATGCAGCCCATAATACTTAAAAAAAAAAATTAACAGTACTTATTTAAAGGCGCTTTTAAAAAACATTCTAAAAATATTTAAAAAAAAACATAAATATTGTTAAAACTGCTGTTAAAAGTCCATTACAATGATTTAAAGTTCGTTGTAAAGAACATAAGAAGAATTTTTACAGCTGTGGATGCCTCTACAAAGCGTTGGGAAAACTCTTCTTTTTTTTGTAGTCTTATATACACATTTTAAGACTTGCAAACACAAATCCTGAAATACTATGACAATGAATAGGAAAATTAAAGTTAATGAGTGGCCTTTGGTTTATAATTTATGTCACATCCCCATGAAACAAGTAACTTAGATCTTTCAATCATGATAAAAAATGACTTTAAACTGATGAATTGCTCCAAATTAAAATATTTCCCTTTCCCAAAAATGTCAAAACGTAGTCTACATGTATTCTATTTGGAAATCTACTCTATTATTTGATTTCTAATAAAATTGAAGCAAAAACATTAATGTGTTCGCTTCATTCATAATGCAATAGATTTTTAGCAAATTTAGTGGTGAACTGTTTTAACTTCACTTTCGGAGCATTGAGTCTCTTCCGAAAATTCCTTAGTCATATTCAAATTCTACTTCACATGCATGTGAAAAGAGCTACAATTGTTTGCTACTTTGAAAGTCACGTTCATAAATTGGCTCATCACCCGTGCAAAAGACGATGTTTGTTGTGCTCTTTCAAAAATCGTAATCGGTGTCCTGTCATCATTCAAATAGTTAGCAACTTGAAATTGGTTAGAGAAAGCATATAGCAACACTACATGAATTTGTCTATTTCTGACGATCAAATATTATTGGCAAATGTAAAAACACCATCGGTTAATAAAAAACTAGACAATTTTTCGACGACCTTTAGAGCTTAGCTATTTCGCTTGTCGATAATCCAAAAATTGACAACATTACCGAGAGCTTGGAATGTTTGATGAATTATTGATGGGTAATACACATGGGTTTCAATTAAAAGTACAATAGTTGGTAAGCTGTCAATTACATAACTGACAGATACTAGCTGTCAGTTAGGGTCAAACTACATACCCGTTAGTTTGTCGTTGATAAACCATTAGATACCTAATCGATGAGCAAATGTCGTTGGTTAATGCCAAAAGAAAAAAAAAAATTGATGGTTGCTCTCGGCTAGGTTCATAGGTTTAGTAATTGTCAGTGCCTCCCATCGGTTATTCGATACCCGTCGATTAACCATTGGTTAACATGAAAAAAACATATGATATACCGCTGGACGATGTCTTAAAGCCATAGAAAGCTATAGCATGTAAAAAAATAAAGAATCTTCATTAATTATAATTTTCACACCTATAATTGTAACACGGATACAAATTCAATTATACATCACACACTCTAGTATATCAATCCAGATAGTTATTAAACTAAAATCACATGTATGAACATACAAATTTAACACAGAAATAAATATAATGTATTCAAACAAAGAATAAAACTATTTGTACATAAAATAACATGCTTGAAATATCTCATAAAATAAATATAAATAAAAGCTGTCATACTGCTCCTTGCCCTTATCGTCTTCTCCTCAATATCCTCTTCTGTCACTTGTTTTTCATTCATGTATTTCCGACACTGAATAGCATCTGATTTTGTTTTCACTTTAGCCTCTATTTCAGCCTTCATCTGAGTGAGTTGTGCAACAAATCAGTTCTCAATATTTTACTGTTAATGCCACCTGCTTACAAACCTCATAATTCTGGGCGGTAAAATTTGATGCAGTGAAGGCGTTGGAGAAGGGATGAGACTCGTGGTCTATGTCTGAGAACCAAATCTATAGACCCTTCATTTCTTTTGCCTCCAGCAGCCTCTCTTCACATCTCATAGTCAAACTGATCACAAATTCGGATCCTAAGTGCTTCCGTGTGCTGGATCTGCTTACAAATCTCACAATCCTGGGTGGTAAAAGTTGATGCAGTGAAGGCGTTGGAGAAGGGACGAGACTCGCGGTCTGTGTCTGAGAACCTAATCTATAGACCCTTCCTTTTTTTTTTTGCCTCCAACAACCTCTCTCCACAGGCTCATGGTCAAACTGATCACAATCTCGGATCCTAAATCTTCCCGTGTGCTGTTTCCAGCTCTCCTTAAATCTCTAGAAAGTTTCCTACAAATAAATTATTAAAGAAAGTTAGAAGCAAAATTAAATTAAAAAATTATTTGAATTATATAACAATTAATCTTCTCGTGTACATGTGTTGCCTGAGATTTGTTGTTAACCCACGAATGATAGGACTGGCTTATGGGTATGCACATTTAGCTCGTCAGTGGTGGGTTCTCGTCCCAACTCCATATTTTATTAAGTTAAGAAAATAATTAGTAAATATTTATTTTACTTTAAGATTTAGTGCACAAATTAAATCTTGCCAACCTCCTCTTGTATATTAATATCGCATCAAAACATCACTATTATAACTTCTTAAAAATAAAATCCCCATTTTTATGCATAGTTTTAAAGTACCAAAGTGACATGTTTATATATAAATTTGAAATTTTTGGTTTGAGACACAAAAATATGTAAGAAATGTGTGCTACATATGTGAATGTTCCCTTAAAATGGAAATTTACATTCATATCACAAAGTTTTTATTACATATCTCAAACCTAAACTTTTATTTTTCACACATATCACTCTAAACTTTAATATAATATTAAAAATAGCACTATCACTACTTAAAAAAAATGCACATTTACTAAAGTATCATGTATGTAAATACAAAAGCCTAGGAGTGTGAAACTTAAAAATATAAGAATTGTGTACTCCGGTATGCACTTTTTTCTTTAAAAAGGGTCCATTTGTATGCATAGAACAGAATTATCATGTATTTACATATCCCCAACCCAAGCTTTCATATTTACATATATAACACTCAACATATTAATATCAACACTACCACCACTTTTGAAAAGTGGAATACACTATTTCATTCTTCCGTTTAAACCACCAAAGTGTTTTATATGTAAATTTAAAAGTTTAAAAGTGTGAATTACAAAAATACTTAATTAATTGTATGCAGGGTATATGAATTTACCTTTAAAATGGGGCATTTACATTCATAGCACACAATTCTTATGTATTTAAATGCCTCAAACTTAAACTTTCATGTTGTTCTAGGTATGCGAAATTGTCACTAAAATTTAGTTGTTAGATATGGAAAAACTTGAAAGATGAGTAGCATGCATGTAATAATGAGATGCATTATTACAACTATAGAAAACTGGATCAAAATTTTGAATTTAGCCAAAACAGTTATTCTCAAAATGCAATAAACCTAACGGTTAAAATTAAAAGAAAAACTTTAAGGAATAATTGAATCGAGATTACGTATGATTTGAGTATGAGAAATCGAGAAATGATCAACTATGGAAAATTTGGGATTGGAGGGGGCGTAGGTTGGCCCTGGAGCAAAGTTGCATGTATCAGAGGAGAATGAGAAATTTCAAATTTCAGTTCTATAAACATAAACACTCTGACGGCTTTCCATTAGGCTTTAACCTTCAAATTTTAATTTCTTATGGACTTATGTGCGTCACTGTCATTTAAAATATCATGATCATGGGATATAAAGAAAAAAAAAATTGATTATTACATCTTTAATAATGTATGGCCGTCATTTTTAAGTTGCTATAAACCAACGAGATTATCTTCAATTAAAATATCATATCAATTAGTTTGTAAGAAACTAAATATCAATGTACGACGTTCCAATAGTATCTGACAATCACTTTACAAAACTAATGATTTTGATCATCAAATCATATTTTACGTTCGTCGGTTATTAAATTCACTAAATACTCATGGAAAGTCCTTTAAGAAAGTCGTCAGTTAACTTAACCGTTGGAAAGCTATAGAAAATAAAGGCAACATTACCTACATACTCTAGGAAGTTTATTTTTTCTTTGGTTTTTGTTGTATTTCCTTATGATTAGAATTACCTTTTGATGTTGTGAATTCTTTTCTTAGTCACCCTCAAATGCTAAACATAGTTGGATCTTATATATATCGGCTCACCAATTTGTTGGGTAATGTGGAGACTCGGTTCACCGAATTTAGTTAACTTCATAATTAAGAATCTCACCTACCGCTCACCTACCACACCCACTTACCGCTCACCTACCTCACCCACTTACCACTCACCTACCTCCCACCTACCGCTCTCCTAGTTTATATAAATAGCCTCTTATGACTAGTCATAAACAAGCCAAGTCAAGCAAGACCAAGACAAGTCATCTTGAGAGCTAAGAAAAATAGAGGGAGAGAGAGAGAGAGGAAGGGAGAGGAAGGGAGAGAAGAAAATAAGGGAGAGAAGAAAATAGAGATTTTCTTGTAAACGTCGAGGCGTTCGATGATGTAATTCCTCGAAGAAATAATCCTCTGCAAATCCGTGGATGTAGGCAAATTTATCGAACCACGTAAATCTGTGTGTCGCTCTGATTTTTTTCTGCATGCAATTTTTCTCGTTCTTTTTTTTCGTTTTATTGCTGTCGTTTTTCACAACACTTGGTATTAAAGCTTTGGTTCGGGTCTAAGAAAGAACAATGGGCGGAAACGATGTGATGACATCGAGGATCGAGAAGTTCAATGACACAGATTTTGCTTACTAGAAGATACAAATAGAGGACTACCTCTATGGGAAGTAACTTCATCTTCCGTTACTGGGAAAGCGACCAGAAAAAATGGACGAGGCAAAATGAAATCTGTTGTATCGACAGGTTCTGGGGGTTATACGATTAGCCCTGTCAAGATCGGTTGCCCACAACGTCATCAAGGAGAGGACTACTGCAGATCTCATGACGGCTTTATCAGGTATGTATGAAAAAGTCATCGGCGAATAACAAGGTGCATTTGATGAAAAAATTATTCAACTTGATGATGACTCAACACCTGAATGATTTCAATACTATCACAAATTAATTGTCGTCTCTTGAAATTGATTTTGATGATGAGATACGTGCACTGATGTTGTTGGCTTCATTGTCAAATAGCTGAAAAGCAATGAGGATGGTAATTAGCAGTTCTGCAGGTAAATCCAAGCTGAAATATGATGATATACGTGATTTGATTGTTTGAGGAGATGCGCATGAAGAATTTTGGCGAGGCCTCGTGTTCAAGTTCGGCGCTGAATGTTGATTCCAGAGAGAGATCACATGACAGGAACTCAAATAGAGGAAGATTAAAATGATCAACTATGGCAAATTTGGGATTGGAGGGGGCATAGGTTGGCCCTGGAGCAAAGTTGCATGCATCAGAGGAAAATGAGAAATTTCAAATTTCAGTTCTATAAACATAAACGCTCTTTCCGACGGCTTTCCGACGGCTTTCCATTAGGCTTTAACCCTCAAATTTTAATTTCTTATGGACTTATGTGCATCACCGTCAGTTAAAATACCATGATCATGGGATATAAAGAAAATAAAAATTAATTATTACATCTTTAATAATGTATGGCCGTCATTTTAAGTTGCTATAAACCAACAAGATTATCTTCAATTAAAATATCATAACAATTAGTTATTAAGAAATTGAAAATCAATGTATGACGTTCCAATAGTATCTGACAATCACTTTACAAAACTAATGATTTTGATCATCGAATCATATTTTATGATCGTCAGTTATTAAATTCACTAAATACTCATGGGAAGTCCCTTAAGAAAGTCGTCAGTTAACTTAACCGTTGGAAAGCTATCGAAAATAAAGGCAACATTACCTACATACTCTAGCACGTCTATTTTTTCTTTGGTTTTTGTTGTATTTCCTTATGATTAGAATTACCTTTTGATGTTGTGAATTCTTTTCTTAGTCACCCTCAAATGCTAAACATAGTTGGATCTTATATATATCGGCTCACCAATTTGTTGGGTAATGTGGAGACCCGGTCCACCAAAATTAATTAACTTTCTAATTAAGAATCTCACATACCACTCACCTACCACACCCACCTACCGCTCACCTACCTCACCCACCTACCGCTCACCTACCTCCCACATACCGCTCTCCTAGTTTCTATAAATAGCATCTTATGGCTAGTCATAAACATGCCAAGTCATCTTAAGAGCTAAGAGAAAGAGAGGAAGAGAGAGAGAGAGAGAGAGGAAGAGAGAGAAGAAAATAAAGATTTTTTTATAAACGTCAATGCGCTCGACGGTGTAATTTCTCGAAAAAATAAATCTGTAACTCTGTGGACGTAGGCAAATTTGTCGAACCACGTAAATCTGTGTGTCGCTCTGGTATTTTTCTACGTGCAATTTTTCTCGTTCCATTTTTTGCTTATTGTCGCGTTTTATTGCCGTCGTTTTTCACAACACAATCCATCTTTGTATATAAGATGTCTATTGTTGTGCATGCCAAGTATCTTATGCTTTCGATTACTCTTTTAAATTTAGAATTATCTCCTTTCAATTCCATCATTAATACTTAATACATAATTTGATGTTGCGCTCAACTGGTGTGCTTATCTTCTTGTTTATAATCATTCATTTTGAATCTTTTGATAACATCTTTTGCATAATTTTTTTTAATGGCATAAAGATGCATGCTTTTCTTGCTTTGTGTCACTTCAACTCCAATAAAGTAGTCATTAGCGTATTGTTTGGCTTCTTAAACTTAGCCAATATATTTCATCTTGAACTCTTTAAGCGAGCTAGAGAGGATTAGTGCTTCAAAATATTATTTACATATAATAACAAAATAAAATTAGTTAAAGAATAAACAAATAAAATGCCATAATTGATTAAGATAAGATATTTGCTCATGTCATTCTTCTAGAAATTCATCAATTGATCTTTTATATGCATGATTGCATAAGAATATTGGTCTATTTTTAAAATGAATGAAATCTATTAATGGTCGAGTTTGTTAAAGAATAAGTGTACGATGAAAAATCTTTGTGGCATATAAGAGATCGATGATGATGAGCCAAAACTCTTTAGGTTAAAGAATGTGATTTATGCCTTACATCAACCATTAAAACAATATGGAATTTAACAATAAATACATGCTTCAAGAAAAATGGCTACATCCAGTCCCATATGAAATTAATCAGAACTTATTTTATTTAATTTCTTCTCTCTTTTTGTTTTTTTTTTCTTTTTTTTTTCATTTTTTAATATCAATTTTGACAATCAATGCCCCTATGATATACCTCATGTAAGAATTAAACGCCATTGAACATTTATTGGTTTTATCATTTTCAGCTATTGAGGATCTTCATCAACTGTACAAGAATGCCAAAGTACATTTTTTAAATTTTTGGTTGATTTTGTTTTCAGTCTAAGGAGAGCGTAGATGCAGCTATAGGCGATGTTTTAGCAAAGCCATGGTTGCCGCTGCCACTTGGGTTGAAGCCTCCCTCCACTGACAGCGTGCTCCTCGAACTGCAAAGACAACTAGGCTGCAATCCTGATGGAAACTAATATAGCCTTAATTTGGATCTCTTTTCTTCAGGAAAATGGTAAGCAGAAATCCGTCGACCTTTCCTGTATAGATATTATATTTACGTTTTTGCTTTTTTTTTTTAATTGGGGCAATTACAAACAGACACCCTTGGAAACATTGATATTTACAAATTAATCACCTGGAAGGTTTCTTTGAACTAAGAATTGATGTACTTACATGTGGCACGATCAAACTATTGTGAACTTGAGAAAAATGATAAATATGAGTTGCGGTGTAATCATGAATTTTGATATTTGAGTGAGAATTTGAAAAAGGGTTGAATGAGAGTGGTTGATTTGTAAATAGCAAGTTTCAGGTGGTATGTAGTATGTTATGTGATTGTCCTTTTATTCTTCATTCACATGTTCCATAAAGCCATGAGTTATATTTTGAATGCTTGAGGTGGGCTATTTTAATCAGTAGATAAGGGTCAAAGTATTTATTTATGTTATGGGCACATACACAAAGCTCTAATGTAAAAAAAAATATTACATACTGTACAGATTGAGTGTACTATGAATACACTCAAATCCACACATATGTTATCAGCATGTAACAAATACTCTTAATTTAGCCAGAGAACTTTCAGAGATATATATATATATA